CGGCCTGCAGGAGAGGCTGCTCCTGTCGGTGCTGCCGCGTCACGTGGCCATGGAGATGAAGGCGGACATCGCAGGGAAGCCGCAGGACACCATGTTTCACAAGATCTACATCCAGCGGCACGAGAACGTGAGGTACGATCAACACCACAAGGTCAATGTACCGGGTGATTCAGAGAAGACGCAGGTGCGGGCTGGTTTGCCTACCCAAGGGGCTATGGCGCCTTACGGGCAGAACGGGTAGGCAAACCCGCCCGCGCCTGCGTCTTCTCTGAATCACCCGGTAGTGTGAAGCAAAGTGTTTAATGTGCATGAGGGAGGGTCAAAAACGTGTATATTGCATGTGCTGCATGCACTTAGTTAAAAGTTCAGTTCTAGCGAATATGAAATGAAAAGTATCCAAACTGAATGTAAATTTTGATTTAATAATATTGATAGTACAATTATTGTACTATCAATATTATTAAATACAGTGTGTGACCTCAAAACACGTATGTGCACACTCGGTGTGTGACATCTGGCGCGCACATTCAAGTTCAATGGAACTGGAGTGTCTTCCGGAGGGCAGCAATTACAGTGACCCTATTTCCGTTACAGCATCCTATTCGCGGACATCTGCGGCTTCACCTCCCTCTCGGCCCAGTGCACAGCCGAGGAGCTGGTCCGACTGCTCAACGAGCTGTTCGCCAGGTAGCAAAGGGAACCGAAGGGAACCGAAGGGAACCGAAGGGAACCGTAGGGGGGCGCCGGGAGCACCAAAGGCTCCAGCCAATCAGACCCAACACGCTGCAGTTAAACTTTGTCGAACCCACATCATTGTGTGAGCACAACGATCACGAATCGATTGGCTGAGAAATAAAACACCAAACATGCTAAAGAAAACGAGAAATGAAAAAGAGATCGACAACAAAATATTTTTAAAAATGAACTCCGACATAATTTTTCTATTGGTGCAATCGAACTACAAGAAATAACGAAACCTGGCCAACTCTATTTACCGAAACGTGGTGAAGAACTGCTAGTAATGTGTCTTCGGTCTTCAGGTTCGACCGCCTGGCGCAGGAGCACCACTGCCTGCGCATCAAGCTCCTCGGCGACTGCTACTACTGCGTGTCCGGGCTGCCCGAGCCGCGGCCTGATCACGCGCAGTGCGCCGTGGAGATGGGGCTGGACATGATCGACGCCATTGCGTGAGTATAGTCGCCGGACCTAGCACATACTATCGAGAAACGGTGTGCGACACCATTTTAAATTTGATGAAAACTGGTAAAAGATTTATTTTGTGGGGGGAAACGTCAAAAACGTTCGTAAGGGTTACGCTACGCCCCTGTGAGGTCAGGTCCTCGCACCAGAGCGGGGGCGGCGGGGGGCAAGATGGGTCCGACTCGCCTCTAAAATAGACCCCCCTCCGGCGACATGATTGCGCAGCGCCCTGTGCCCGCCTCGCGCACCGTCTCAGAAACCCACGCATCTCCGCCAGGTTGCCGAAACAGTTACGAGGCTACACCGGCCCACCCGTGCCGCCCTACATCTCGCGAAACTTGCCGACGTCGTCGCCGCCGCCGCTCGATTCCCACCACACCTGCCCCCTCCGCTGCTGTCGCTGCTCGCGCTCAGCAGCGTTACGGATAGGAAAGTTTCTCCTTCCCCTTCGGCCTCGCCTTCGGCCCATGCTCTCGCCTCTCTGAGATTGTCCACCGCAGTGGGCGGCGGACACACGGCTGCAACAGGTCAGAGTGCTTTGTGTCTGCAACCGCGCTGTCAAAAAACGAGCAGGCGCACTGTTATTCAGATACTGTGACGTCACATTCTATATGATGTGAATTGTGTCACATTATTTAGAATATCATGTCACATTCTTTAGAACGTGACACACCTTTTGCACCGCTCTGCCCTGAAGGACTCAGTGCACCTATGTCACGTGAAAACGAATGTGACATATTCTAAATAATGTGACACAATTCACATTTTATAGAATGTGACGTCACAGTATTTGAATAACAGTGCGTCTGCCTCCCGACCTGACCCTTCACGTCAACCGGGTGGGCACCCACTGTGTCATTGTAAATTTATGATATATCGTCCCTAATTTTCAATTACAAACGTCGTACACTGTGAAAAATTTCGTCGTAAATTTTCAAAAAAATTGTAAACTGCTTGAATTATAATTTAAGTTGTAAATTTACGACAGCACCTTTTTTACTCGCCAAGGGATTTGAAGTCGATACAAACTGCATGTATTTTTACGATTACAAATTGTAATTTTACAACTTGCGTCAAGGAAAATTTTCCTGTAAACCTACCTACTTTTTTCACAGTGTACGAATGTGACCGCTAATTGACTAGAGAAGTCATAAATTAAGGAATGCAGTCATGCAAGATTAGCAAGTCAAATAAAACTTTAGGGTAAATCATTTTGTTTCATACATGATTATTTTGCAATGTGATACCTTCACCTTTTTATAAGTTTAGTTCGTAACTTTAATAGAAATTCGTAATTTAACAATGTTTATCATGGGAAATTTTCCCACCGAATATTTCTCACAGTGGCCACAGCGGTCATCAAAGGCTGCCCAGCCAACTGACATGAGCCTCCCGCCCGACCCTCCCTTTTTGTCTGAGCCAGCGGTCACACTAAGGGGCCTCTCCTCTCTGACCGTTTGACTTGTTGCAGGCTGGTCCGGGACGTAATGGGCGTCAACGTCAACATGCGCGTGGGCATCCACACGGGGCGCGTGCACTGCGGCGTGCTCGGCCTCCGCAAGTGGCAGTTCGACGTCTGGTCCAACGACGTCACCCTGGCCAACCACATGGAGAGCGGTGGCATCCCTGGGTGAGTAGGAGGATTGGATTGATCGCCCGCCGAAAAGCCTGTTAACGTTGTGTTTCGTGTTTAAGAACTGCCACAAACTTGTCCATGCCGACAGGCGGGTGCACATCACCCGAGATACGTTCGTGTTCCTGGATGGTGACTACGCGGTGGAGCCGGGCAACGGCGCCGAACGCAACTCGTACCTGCGGGACCACAACATCGAGACCTTGCTCATCGTGCCGGAGAAGTCCAAACGGTCGCAGGTAAAAGAGAGAATGAGAGGGTGCGGGTAGTGGGGAGACACACCCTCTCAAAATCTAACTAAACGGAAGGACAATTCCATTTGTTGCGAACAGCCAGACGAAATTCGCAGTGTTGTAACAGCGGGAACGTTTCACTGTTGGGCGAATTCCCACAACCGTGCGATTTTTGTCGGAATGTTGTTTATCCAGAGCAGACCCCCACGCACACACACGTCATGGCTGTGTAAGCGATCGCTCTCTCACCTCCTACTTCCGCGAGTAGCAGGTCATTCCACTTGTGAAGGATTACACGAAAGAGACACGGAGAAAAGAAAATGGTTCGCAACGGCGACAAGTGTTTCTCATCTCATTCTCTTTCTTCTCCAGACGCAGCGGTCGATTCGGAGGCCCGGCGGCCATCTGGGTTTCTCCAACGGCAACGTGGCCAAAGAGCTCCGCGTCATGGGGCACGGCAGCCAGCACGGCAAGCACTCCAAGTAAGAGTCGTCCTCAACGTCATACCCAACGAACACGGAAACGTCACGAGGAAGTCATTGGTGCCATTACTGATTTTAACCGAAATTTTGACTTTGTTTTGGTCTTAAAAATGTCATTTTGATATAAGCTCGAGAACGTTTACGTGTTTCTTCTTTTGAGAGAGAGAGAGAGAGAGAGAGAGAGAGAGAGAGAGAGTAACAGTTTCCGCGTATTCCCCTTCCCTCAAGGCTGGGCTTCGGTGACAGCCTGGACGAGAAGGACCCGCAGGAAGAGGTAAACGACTACCTGATGAGGGCCATCGACGCGCGGAGCATCGACCGGCTGAGAGCCGAGTGTCGGAACTTCCTCCTCACGTTCAAGAACGCAGACATCGAGAAAAAGGTTCGCTCGCAACGCAGCATAAGGGAAATGAAACTTTGTCTACAGCGTAACGTCTACTGAAAATAATGTCTTGCCGTAACTTTCTTTTAGTACTCAAAGGAGAGAGACAGAATGCTGTCAACGTATTTTGTCTGCTCTGTCATCATCATGGGCACCATTTGCTCTCTACTGCTGATTCTCAGAGTGAAGTAAATAAGCATGAAATAAGACTTGAGATACGAGATTAATTTGTTACTTGGGACAAAATCTAATTTTACTTTATGATTCACCAGGTCTTCTTTGCCATTAGTGCTAACAACGATTTGTTGGACCATTGTTGGGGGGATCACTTTTGTAGTATTATCTATTAGGAGTAAGGTAAGTAAATTTAAACTACAGTGCACTGTAGTCAACGTTTGTACCCGCTCCAACTAACTTCCCTACTGTGTTGACCTTTTCCAGAACAACGTTTTAAAAGCGCCGGCATTACTAATCCACGGTGATCGCAAGGTAGCGCAGTTTTTCGCATGCATCGTGATTATTTGCAGTTACGTCGCGGCACTCTCACCAGTGGTAAGAAAAACTTTTTTTTGAAACAGACAAAACATGCCAATGTCAAATATAAAAGAGTTTCACTCAACCGCCTTTCTTCCCACAAGTTGTCTGCCATTGACGTCATTGTGGGCCTCATTCCCTGCTGGGACACCTCCGAGCTGCCCTACAACGCCTCGGTGAGCGACCATATGGCCAGCAGCAACAGCTCATCGCTCAACCGGACGGACTGCCTCGCGCAGGCCGCCTACGTCCAGGACCTATTTCCAACCGACGTAAGTGAACCAGCACAAATTAAACACGCTGCAAAAGTTGTGGTTTCCTTTTTATTTCAGAATGAAACAATCTATTTCTTTGGGCAGTACTTGGCGCTCATGGTGCTGCTGGTACTCACGCTGTGCGCAGTTTATCAAGTACTTCCCGCACTGCTCAAGATGGTCCTCATGGGGTTTCTCCTGGCCGGCTACTTCTTCATCGTGCTCGTCGTAGAGCGAGACCTCTCCATGCCAGAGTGGGTATACCACCAGTGACAACAAACTGCGGACAACTGTTTGACTAAGACTGTACCCTCTCAGCCTGCCCCCTCCTCACTGCCACAGGAGCTCGGCCTGGTGGGTGTCGCTGCTAGCGCCGCGGCACCTGGTGCTGGTCGTGCTCATCGGGATGGTGGTGGTGCTCGTCATCCACTCCCTGCACACTGAGGCCACCTACAGGCTCGACTTTCTCTGGAAGCTTCAGGCAACAGGTGAGGTCTTACCTATGGGAGTGAAAGCACACAGTACAAAGCAAAGCACACTCCCAGAGATCAAAGCACTACTGGTTAAACACTGTTTTGCAGAGGAGAAGGAGGACATGGAGCATCTCGAAGCCTACAATAGAAAACTACTGGCGAACATTCTTCCCGTCCACGTGGCCGAGCACTTTTTAAACAGTGACAAAAATTCTGATGTGAGTACAACAACGTCGTCGGTTGTCGGTCTACAGCGCGTCGTTCACGATCGTTCATCAAGGCACGCACTTACCAAACACTACAAACCCCTTATCGCCTACAGGAGCTGTACCACGAGCAGTGCGACCTCGTGTGCATCATGTTCGCGTCCGTCGCAAACTTCTCCGAGTTCTACGTGGAGCTTGAAGCTAACAACGAGGGCGTGGAGTGCCTGCGGCTGCTCAACGAGATTATAGCCGACTTCGATAATCTGCTGGCAGAGGAAAAATTTCATTACATCGAAAAGATTAAAACTACCGGAGCGACGTACATGGCTGCTGCAGGTGAAGAGATTGGGCTAACACGCCACGACTATCCTGTTCCCTTCATACATTCTATCCATCGATATATTTATATGACTATCTATGTTCCCTGCAGGCCTCACGCCCAGCACGTGTGATACCCAGGGTCTCAAACACGTCACGGCCATGGCAGACTTCGCGCTGCGCATCCGCGAGCAGCTGGAGTACGTGAACGAGCACTCGTTCAACAACTTCCGCATAAGGATTGGTGGGTGACGGTCTCACGGCACGACAACTCACGCAAACTAAACTTGTCACCACATCGTCACTTTTTTTACCTCTTTTGCGCAGGCATCAACATCGGCCCCGTGGTGGCCGGCGTCATCGGCAGCCGAAAGCCCCAGTACGACATCTGGGGGAACGCCGTCAACGTGGCCTCGAGGATGGACTCGACGGGCGTCCTCGACAAGATCCAGGTGAGTGTGGGCGCCGGAGGTTGCACACCCGCGACGCGACGGCCCGCGGGCGCTCTCTAAGTAACCAGCGGCTGCCGCTGCTGCCCACAGGTGACGCAGGAGCTGCACGACATCCTCAAGGCCAAGGGCTACCCGCTCACCTGCCGCGGCAACATCCACGTCAAGGGCAAGGGCGACATGACGACGTACTTCTTGGACGGGCCGAGCGGCGAGGACGACGCCAAGTCGGACCACCACGCCCAACAAAACGGTGGCGTCGAGCGTCCCTAAGCACGGCACCACCGCCACCGTGGGCCCCCGGGCCCTGCGCCCACAACGGCTGTGACTGCACGGCCAAATTAGGCCGAGACATTCTTGAAAGGGCCGCGGCGCCCTGACGGTGCCTGTACTCTGATCTGTGATGGTTTTAAACTGGCCATATTAGTTGAGTCAATTGTATGCTCTCTGGTCGAAATTATTTTCGCTCCCCGCCTATTAGACAGGATTTTCATCCAGGAAAATCGGTGAAACGTAAGCGGGAGCTACGCCAAATTGTTTTCCGGTATTCCAATCCCTTCTCAAAGTTCACCCTACGCACACTTTCAGCATAAAATGGAGCATTCAATCTTCATCTGTTAGGTTTTAGCTATGGCGTCTAGCGTCCTTGAATAAGGAAGTCTTTAAGTATACCTAAATGTCTCTTGTACCTGCTTCGGTGCTCGCCTACTCAAAGAGCACCCCATTCTTTGTGATCTGTAGGCCTAAATGTTGTTGTATAACTCTAGCAGAAAGCGATGGAATTTTGCCGCTGGATTAACACCACTGTAGCAGTACTTCAATTCAGTAAGAGTCTAACAACTGCGTTTCTCCGTATTGCGCTTATTACTTTGTCGCTTTAGTGAAAGCCAAAATGTAACTTGATCAAAACTTTCAGTGGTGTTTTCTCTCGACGTGGGCAACTCGGATTGGCTGGAGGAGCCAGAAAAAACGAAACTTGTCATTGAATTTTTATTTGTAAATGTTAGCAACCCAGTCAACAAAATGTATTTATTTATAAAGAGATTAAAAGTAACATGTTATTTCTTCGAAAAAAAAGGAGAAAGAAATTGAAACTCTAAACAAGCCTTATAATTTTTTTCTCACTTATAAAAAGATGCCCGTTTAGACGTATACACTGGCACTAGACGGGCAAATACACCCGGCTAACAGCGCGGAGTATGGGCGCCCCGGCCCAGTGATGAAGACAGTTGCGCCCACCCCCGTGCGCCCACCCGAAGCACACGGGGTAGCAGCAGCCACCCCCGACTGCGCGGGGTATACACTCCCCGCCGCGGCCGCGCCGTCAGGGGGCGCCAGGGGTCAACGCGCCGGAGGCAGGCCGCGGGGCGAGGCTGCACTCGTTGCAGGCGGGCGCGGCGTGTCGCCGGGGTCGTCCCCGTCACATTCTGTTTGGTGAAACACGACACCGCATCACGCTGATGTTGCATACTAAACGCAACCCCGTGTTGCTGTGCTGCACTGCGCCCGGCGGCGACCAGCCTGGACCCAAAGCACACAAACATTCTCAACACGTTAAAAATAATTCAGGCCAGCGTTCAACTTATCGTCAGTAGGGTGTCCTTCCCTCTGCCTCCTCCTCGTCCACTCCCCCTACCCCTGCCACCGTCTTAGTCCCCGCACGCCCCTTCCTCCACCTCCTGGCCCAGTTTCCTGTCTCAGTCAGTCGGCGCCTCGCCCCGGCTCCCTCACGACCAATAAAGACCAGGCCAGCGAGTACCGCCCGACCCCGGCCTTTCCTTTACATCGTAACGCTTTATTCTCCTGTCCTGGCGTGGCGCGGCGTGGCGGAGCCGGACTCGACCTCGAGGGGCAGATTGGGGAGGAGCGCGGGAGGGGGGCATCGTGAAGATGGAGGAAGACAAAGGAGGTCGATAGACAAATTGCTGCTGATACGGCGTGGTGCAGGTACTCTCCAAATATTTTCCGGGCACAATTGGGTAAGCAGAAAGTAAATCGTCGGGGTGGAGGAGGGGGGTTGGGGCTGATCACTGACACAGCGTAACTGTGAGATTCGATTAGTCGATATTCAATGATCCGCTTTCGTAAGGCAACAACAGATTTTGTTTTTCGGGGTCGGCACTTATGACGTATTGGGGCGGCGAGGGACAACAAATAACGAGGGGGTGTGCCATGGGGGAGGATGGAGATGAGTGGCAGAGAGGG